ATTATTTTAATTGTTAAAAGAAATATTTACACTAGTAAGCTTAAGAAAGAATATTTGAATTAAGTTTTAATATAGTTGCGTTATGTTTGGATTAAAACGCGACTCTAAATTACAATGTAGTTCAACATAGAATTGCGTTTTAATTCAAGTTTAATTAAATCAAAGTAGAAATAACATCATACATCATGAGACTTAGAAATGTTTGCAACGCTTAGGGTTAGCAAAGTGGATAGGAATGGTCTCAGAATACTATAATATTAATATTATTACCACACCTTCCTTCTTTACTAAACCTAAGCTACGCAAACATGACTTAAATTATAAAAGTTATGAAAAATAGTGACGGTCGTCACTTGGTAGGTGTAAAGTTAAATGGGAGTCGTCACAACTTTGATTGGACAAACCTTGGACAAACGTGTGTCTTTACACCAACGACAATTATTTACAAAAGAATTGTCGCTATTAGTGTTTTTTTATGTTTTGTTTCATTTTATTCAGTAATCTTACTTTGCATATTACTATGCAAAATAATGTAAATTAGCAAGAGGTCAAAACGCATACAGTTTGTGTTCACAAGTGAAAAGAAACATTTGGGTTTAAATGTTAAAATCTTTCCATTTATTTTGATATTTTGTCGGAGTGCTGTTTTATTTTGATATAACATATTCTACTTGGTTTATTATTGTAATGCTACTAAGTACTATATTGATTCCTTTCAACCTTGACTCGTAAATAATTAATACGTACATTCATTAAGTACTACTAAATTGTTTGTCTCCCATGTTTTGTTTGTTCATGGCAATTCGTATGAAAATTGAGTGTGTGCATTCACAGTAGTCTCATACTTATTCTTATAAAAGAGCACTGATTGAGAGTGTAATCTATATACAATACTGTAGAACACGTTGAAATAGCTGCATGCAATTTTAGCGGATTTGACTCTTGGCATGAATTTACAGAATCTTAATTTAGCTAAAGTGTTGACTATCCCCCTGTGAGAATATACTTTCTGTTAAATTACCTGCATCTTGAATTAGCTAAATTACAGCTAATTGTCGCGCCTTCATGAAAGTTTTGAGGGCATAATCGCTAGCTAAATAATGTGACATTTACGATTTTCGTGTGACAATTGTTGAGATAGTAAAATTGGACAATAATGACCAGTAATGCCAACTGGTATTCTGGGCGCTATAAAAATTTATGAAGTTTTAAACATTGATGGGAGAGCAGAGATAATTCCCTGCCACAAAGGTGGGTGACTTAATTTAAAAGAATAAAGATCATCCCATGTTTTAAGCTTGTCATAACTTTTAAACAGGTGTCATACATAAACAGTCCCCCATTGAGAAAATCTAAGTAACACACTGATCTCCCGTTAATACATATATTTTATTGCTCCTGATAACTGTATCAGGAATTAGGGTGCGGCGAGGTTTACCTTTGTTTGACCAACTACGCTTTGTGAACTACGATAACATTGTGGCAATGGCGGGAATTAAGTTTTGAGTATACGCGGCATTGCACTTTTTAACGTTATCCGATATCATGATAGTCTGAAAATGTCTAAGTTAGACAGGTCTGACTGGGCAACTAATGGGACAGTTCGTTTTTCTTCGATGTTATCGTCTGATTATGTCCAAAAATGTCTGAGTTGAATAACTGAGACTTTATCGGACGATAATATCCGAGAAAAACCGTAACACGAGTTAGTGATGCCAACATTTCATTAGATTTTATTAGACGATAATTGTCCGTTAACGATTTATATGACATTGTAGCGCATCCATGAAAGTTTTGAGGGCATAATCGCATCGAAAAAATAATTTGCCTCAAAAAGGCCAGTGTTAACAGAAACTCAATTATTTTATTAAACGACGCACCATAACGGACGTGGCATCGCATGACAAGACAGTTGACAGGATACGCCAAGATTGATGCAAATTATTTAGGTGTATTTTAAGGTTTTTCCCGGGTAGTATAAACTATTTTTTCCTGTAGTCTATTGTCATTCGGACTCGTTTACTCCCAACGTAATGTGTACGTTTTATGTCTGCTATTATGGTTTCAAACATTTGACTGTGCCTGCCTTGCTTTCAAGTTGGCGACTTCACCATTCAGTCATGTCAACCACTCTAAGTTGCAACATCCCTTTTGATCAGCCAATGATAGCGACGCTTCACTCTTTTCATAATGATCTCATATATCAGAATGTTTGTCTGACCCTTCCCCTTTTTATGTGCTGTTACGTACCCCCTAGTGACCTTGCCTGGAGCGCTGCAGCGCCAAGAGGCCGTGCAGGAAACTCAGTATGTATCAATTAAATAGCGCACTTGCTTTTGAAGCTCCTATAAAAACGTCATAAAGCTTCTGAAATCGCCGAAAAGAACCACAAACACACACAACGCTGTATAAAAAGGCGGAAGGGGGTATACGAGTCAGTTCCACAACGATTGAACTCACTTGCGCCAGTTAGTTGATCGATCGGACCACAGATTTTCCACTGAACGGCGGCTGCAGCTTTACCGGGTAGAGTGGGAATCCGCGCATTGCGTCGATTTGACAAAGCCTGGAATCGCCTCAGAACACCAACGAGTGTTTGAATAGTAATTCTGCTGACATCTCATTCTCAGCAGTTGATTAACCTCAACCCTGTCGCGACTGTCTATACACACAGAGACTTCACTTAGCGAGTGAGATGCATCTGGCGTTTCTCGTGAGCTTTTTTCTTGTCGTAAGTTTATTGGACAATGGAGTACACACGCAAGATAATGGTTTAGCTCCATGGCAGCTTAATTTGGGTAAGTAAAGTATGTCAACCCATTGAAAAAACTTGATGAAACGAATTTACGATCGGCCGTAAAACCACCAAGGGTGTTAAATGAATGGCGATATGGGATGTGGGTATAAACACGTAAAGGTCGAATCCAAGTGACTAATACGTATTCTGCTGACCACAAAATGTTTTCACGTAACCCTGGATTCGCAACTCGACCTACTCCCAGTATCGTATTGTTCCTCACACGAATAAGGCAACTGTCCGATTCGACGGCCAAACCAAACTTGACGACCAAGCTGATATTCTATCGCCATGAAATAGACGTAGATGTAGTTATTGTGAGGACGATTTTTTGAGAAAGATTAATAAAAATGCAATCGCTATTTTTTCTTGTTTTGGGGTTTGAGTAGCGTAGTTAAAATTGTCTGGATGTTCAGTACAACGTTATCGTTGGAGGGCGACCTTCGCACCCCACACTCCCCTTTTCAGTCTGTGTTGCTCCTGGTGTTACAAGAATGTAATGTGTAACTGTCAGAAAATGTCGCGTGAATTATTTTCACCACGAACAGTAGCTTTCGATTTTTATTCTTATGCGTTTTTGCCGTTGAAATTGACAAATTGAAATTGCTATCTAATTATTCTGGGAAATATAAAATTCGACAACATCGCTCGAATGTAACGAACGACTAGTTTTCATTGAAGTGTCGCTCATTGCACGTGCCCGATATCAGTGCTGTAAGAGTGAGTGTTCTACCCCACATTGCGTGGCATAATGAGTTATGTCTCTAATTACCACTATGGTCAACATATACAGTGTTTACATCTGTTTTTGTGTCGTTTTACGACGACGTAACTTACGTCAACGTGAGAGAAAAACAGAAGTGAAAACACGTTACGGCAACGTAGAGAGGTTAAAAAAATGTTACTAGTACACCGGCGTAAATAGACTTAAACATGGCGGAGGAAACACGGGCGACCATTCGCAAATGGCGTTGTAGAATAGAATAGAATAGAATAGAATAGAATAGAATAGAATAGAATAGAATAGAATAGAATAGAATAGAATAGAATAGAATAGAATAGAATCTGTATTGCTATCGTACCCCATATTTAATTACTAGTAATACATTCTGAAAAACATGTAAAAAATAACTAACGCTAAAAAAAGACGCTCAAATATAGAAAAAAATGTATTGGCTTCTCAAAATAAATTTGAACGCCACAGTCAACTACAAAATAGGCAGACTCGCAATGTGTGTCAAATTTTAAGGCATTTTAGGTAGCTATATTGACCCATACGTTGTTAAACTCGAAATATGCTGATTGGTTCCAATATCACTTACAAGGAATTAGAAGAAATTCCAACAAATGTATATGTATGTATATTATTTTGACACTCTACCTGGCCTAGAATTGTCGACTATTATTGTTCAGCTGAAAAAGTACGCAAAAGACCATTTTAATCAGATTGGCAAAAGACAGACATATATGGCCAACCATATTTCTTCGAGTAAGTGCCATTTTGTGATTTTGGCGTCGTGCATGTGTTTCTTTACATGGCACGATGCATGTCAGGGCGAATATACTTTTGCTTGAGAAACAGGTACGCTCAAATTAGACGAGCAAGGATGCAGCGAATATGCTACCATTCGTTCATCTCCAGTTGTCCGCACAGTGTGGCACCATTCGAGTAGTATAGTCATTGGTGGGACGAGATAATTTATGTCGCTATCGTTGAGCCCCGATGCGTTAACACGGTCGGAGCCATGTCGGGCCCAATCCTATAAGAGCTCAACCCCGAGGGTTTATTGGAGCCAAACTTGGCTCGAGCCGAACGCGTATACAACGACGGCTATTTTTGTTGGCTCGAGCCGTAAGGCTCCGACAGAATGCTGTCGTGTAAACGCAGCAATTGTGCACATTATCCGGAGGCGGCCAAATTTACGTCTTTGGTATTAATTGTTGGTGTGAACACAAGATCATGCGATCCAGATCGTTTAAATTACCGGGCACAAATTACACCGACGTAACTTTTCCTAGTGAGAACACGGAAATAATTCGAGTACAACAACCTCTAGGTCATACACATAAATAGATTTTTTTTAAATAGAATTAAAAAAGAAAAACGCAACGAGAAACAGGAACGAGGCTCCGAGTCTACCCGGGGTAACCAAGAGTCTCGTGTGTAAGTTCTCAGCGACGGCAGTACACCGAGTGATCAAGCATGGCGCGTTTTGGGAAGAGGAGTTACTACGTAAAGATTAACTTGCATGTGGTTGAAATGTATATTTGTGAGAACAGTCTCGGAATCAATTTTATATTTACAAGTTATACACATCCATATAACTTACTCCTTGTTATTATTTTTATTATTCAAAAATGAGCTATGATTATGATTAAAATTGTGATTACCATCAAATTATATATACTAGTACTCCATAACTACTAGTCTATATCATCTATGACTAGTAGTGTACACAAAGTGCAATAGTGATTTGCTATCACATATGCACAGTGGTGCTGACAGTGCGTTAGTTAATTATAAATCGTCTTGCGTGTTCTCCATAAAATAAATGCTAGAGTGGACATGGTTGAATGATTGCGAGAAAATAATAATGTAATAATACGTTACTGTTTATTTTAACAGGCGCATGCCCTAAATTCCTTGCACGGGAAGGATTATGTCCAAAAAGAAAACCAGGAGGACCGTTAATGGATGGTATGTCTGTTATGTTATCCCACGGCTTTAACTAACAACGATCCCTGTGCAATTACATAGCAAACACATATCCTTAACTATCTATTCACAATGATCACACCAATACGCTTTTTCTATTAATCGCGCCCTCTATCGACGGCGCGCTTTCATGACGTCATTGATATCACTTTGAGACAGTCTTCCGTTCATAGTGGCTGATTCGAATGACATCCATGCGTCATTTTGACGTCACGGCGTCCCATCACTAAAAGGCGCGGTTAAAATGAATGGTGTATTATAAATTACCAAATAACAGATCCATTTCAAGTTAACTTTTTTATTCATCATTACATAAAAAATACCCAGTAGGGTCTCAGAAATTGTTCCGATCGCCTGGAATTCAAGTCTCTTACTAGTAATCGGAACGCGCCTTCGTTGTTGAAACTTCGAAGTATGTAGGCATTGTACAATTTTGGCTATAATCGAATATTGCAAGTTAGTTGAAAAATGACTTGCCTTTCATCAACCCACAACATATATTCAAGTTGTCACCAAAAAATGATCAGTTTATTAAAGAAACTGACGCCCAGTCACATGTGTGGTTTTATTGATCAAATCACTTCAATAATCCTGCATGATATATATATAACATGTACAAAACAACGGTGTCTCAGAAATGCATAGTATTTTATTGCATATAACAGTATTCAATGTCACTAGTCTTTGTGTAATTTCTAATATAATTATGTGAACTTTTTTCTTTCACTGTCAATCTTCGTTTATTCGGAAAAAAAATGGCGAATAATTTGACAGCATAGGCCTCAGTGCAAACCAGAAAACAATGTTTTAATATTTTGCGATATCAACAAGTATCTATAAACTATTGATTTTGTGAGATATATGTTGTTGCTATGGGAACAATTAAAATATTGCCCTGTATATTTTATTTTACTGTTTTTATCATTGTAACATAATTGCAGATGATGTAAAAAAAATGCGTTATTTTAGTATCATATGACATACCCTAGTAACTCAATAACAATTCATTAACTACTCACAGAAGTGCCACACACGTGACACGCTAAACACATCGCCCGCTGAAAGCCTCCACGGATGGAATGAATGTAAGCCGGGATTTCTCGATGTGTGGCAGTGGTTAACTTTAACTCCGGAGTTGGCTCGGTCCAATACAAATAGTAGTAATTCTGAGTGGTCATTAACACATACAGTATACGTGCATCTATAATAACAACTACAGTTACATGAAAGAGATGCATATTTCACGGAAGGAAAACGCTGAGTTCAAATAATTTAATATGGTAGATTCTTTTCCGTATGTGAGCGCCAAGCATGGGTAATTGATAATTTGAACAAGCAATTATTATTGATTAGTTGTTTTTAAAACAATCGACCATGAATGGCTGAGTAGATGCGAAACAAACTTATAGAATTTAAAGGTTAAAAGTTAACGGACAGTGGTCGTCGCACCGCGTCCTGATCGATAAGGAACTCGTAACGACGTACACAACGCGTTTAAAATACTTTGTTTACATGAAATACGAACACACGCTGCGTGACGAATGTGGCGCTTTAAATGGAACAAAACCCAGAAATTAACGATTTGCTGCATTTGTCAGGGAATCATCATTAAAAATTGCCTATTATAGTGGATAATGAAGCACACCGCAGCGCAAGCAAGCTTATTCCCAGATTCATAGTACATGACCAAAAAAAAGGCAAACTCTTCACAAAGTTACTTTGTGGAACACATATTTGGTAAAGTTGTTTGAAAGTTTGTAAAAAGTTGGAAGGAGTGTCTAACATATGATGACCACCAGCTTGAATCCAATCCTTGCTATGTTGAGACCACTCATAATATCATTATCTTAAAGAGGCTTTTGGGAACTTTTTACAATAATTTTATTTGATATTGCATCTTGGTAAAAACGTTAGGATGCGATTCATCATAATATGAAAACGGCGTGTTGACTGAAGTCATATTAGTATTTGATTGATGGAATGTTTAGAAACGTAAGTTTGAACGCATGCGCATTACAGATTTTCATCAAACGAAATACTATGTTTGCTGCCAAACAAGGGTTTTTATTAAATGCAGAATCAAACCATGATGTTCTTTTTTTTTTATAAAGATGCAATATTAAGAATACATATTAATACTTCAATATATACACATTTTCTTTTTAACGGAGTAAAACTTCAGTAAAGTTATATGTACTAACACACATACGCATGAGTTAGTCCGGTAAAACAACTCTGATCATGGTATTTGTACAGCAATCGTCCCCTCCTTAGGTTCTGGCGTTCCATATGTACCGATACCAAAGAAGTACGAATCGCCGTTCTTCGAAGGAGACATAGTAGTGAAGAAAGGACCAAGGGCCGCTCTGAAGGGTAGGCGAAATAGACGTGCACTGACGCGGAGTCGGAAACTACTGTGGAAAAACGGGAACGTGCCTTACCAGGCACATCGTGATCTGAGTAAGTCAAGTTTATGTCAGTATTACAGTTATTAGTTCAAGTTTACGTGAGGTAAAAGATCGCCGGGGATGATCAAAGAACGCATGAATATCACGTCTTGGGAAAGTTTCAAGGGATTTATGGTACTTTTTGTGACATATATGTTTTGTCTGTGAAAAAAATGTATTCCCACGGTGTCTTTGCTATGTAGTTTGGCGTTTGTAATAATGCTGACGATGTAATGGAAACGGCTTCGTTGACACATTACCGGATAGTCTAGCAAACTGACACTCTCCGGTCGTCCGTTTATATTTTGCGGAAGACAAAAACTCCCGAGCGGTTTTAGTGTTACGGACGCTGACAGTCATAGTGTGTTTCAACGGGCAACTTGTAGCTTTCAGTATCACGTGATTTTTGTCCGACTAAGTCACACAGTCCGCTGTCTCGTTCGTGGACAGTCGTAATACAAATCACTAAAATCCTTCTCCAAATATGTCAGTATTTATCAGGTCACTGCATGACAAGTATATATTCGATTTGACGAAAACCTGGAAAAGTTGCATTCGTTTGTGGTTTGTAAATACTAGACGGTGAGCACGAGCGTTATGAAGCCGTTTCGAAAGAGCGAATAAATAAATGTCGAATGTTTTCTATGGTTCTCTTCCATGCAGATGATGCCGCTAAGATTGCTATACAGCAGGCAATTGCCCACTGGGAGAACAAAACATGTTTGAAGTTTCATAAGAAGTTAGACGAAGATCACGACTACATCCATTTTGTTCCCGATTATGGGTGAGTGGATAGAGTAACATATTATGACCATCAATCAAATTGTGTGTGTGTAGTCAAACACGATTGGCCATTTGGGGGCTCCAGTGTCATGTGACACATTTTGCCCGCGTATATTATCATATTCGCCATTTTGATAATCTTTCGTATCAAGTCGTTGCATAGCCACAAATATTGACCAACAAATATATGTCTACTTGGAGGATTACAATTTAAATCATCGCGAGATCCTGAAATATTGTATTTATTGTCAGACAGGGTATGTTCAGTCGTCCATTACCTTCATGGTCAATATGCCTTGGTAGATCCTGTTCAGCGAAGGTATTTTAAAAGTGTACCCTTTTTGACAATTTTACATTCCTCTATTAAATTTAATCTCAATTACCACGTGCTATGCCATTCGCGTGTCCAATCAATATGCGATTCCCCAGTAGAATCATGCATCGTTTCGTGGACGAGTAAGTTTACATGGAGCTCGCGAAAACTAGGTGTTCGCACTGCCGGAGCCAGATATCCGGTAAGGGGGGTGCGCTCCTATTGACGTGGGCTAGGTTTGTCAACTGATTTGTCATTTTTTGCGGGCTGAAGAGGGCGCGCCTCCCCCTAAATCCGCGCGTGATTCGGACATAAAAATATTATAGTTGGTTGATGTGAAAGGCCAGGTGATTCTTGTTAGAACCAAGTTTCAGCGACAAACACAACGATGATCAACTTTTGTTTTAGGTGCTGGTCATATGTTGGTAGACAGGGCGGCAAACAAAGGTTATCCGTTGGTAACGGGTGTGAACACATGGGTACGGTGGCACATGAAATCGGACACGCATTGGGATTCTGGCACGAACAGGTAAAGGTTACATATACTCAATATGTACATCATTGATAAACATACAACATTGTGTTTTAACAACGTTCTCAAATAAAAGGCGTTGTGACAACGACTTTTTTTGTCCAGTGAGAACACCACTTTAATGAAGTAAAATCAGGTGAATTAACAATAATATTATGAATTGACAAGGATTAGTCAATTTACAGTGATGATAAGCGCTTATAATCATATCTTGCGCGCCCTTTTTAGCAATCACGTGGCTAAGAACAATAAAAAAAGAGCTAGCGATTACCAAGTGTTCAATAACTTATATAAAACAAATTTAATGCTACAAATGTCATTGCTCATTAACAGAGTCGCCTTGACAGGGACAAGTACGTACACGTGGTTGACAGCAACGTCATCCCCGGCGCCGAAGAAAATTTCGGTCGTTTGGAAAAAGAAGAAACCAAGTCACGCAACTTTGCCTACGACTACAACAGCATTATGCACTACGGTACGACATACTTCTCCAGGAATGGGAAACCAACTCTAGAAGTGAAAAAACGTGGTAAAAAATCGTGGGTTCATCTGGGTCAACGAGTCGCCCTCAGTGAACTGGATATAGCACAGGCTAGAGAACTATATGGATGCAATAAACGACAGACACGACGTAAGTTACAAAACAGATAGTGGGTATGGACATAACGGTACAAGATTTTCGTATATTTAAATATGAAATACAGAACAAAAAATTGAATTGTTTATTCGAACTATTTTCTCCTGGTACAACATTTTATTGGCAAGTCGAGAGGTCATCCTGCATTGAGGGTGAACAGGCCCTGCAAGATACAGTAGCATTTATGCGCAGTGTATCTGAGCAAGGAAAAATACGCTGTAGGCCGAGTTACCCACTCAATATCCTGGGGATGGTTTCGCTAACGGTATTTCAATTGATTGAAATCTAGAACCATGTTTATAATTGGTTTTGCAGAAAATGTACCTAGTATATCTGATTGCTGTGTGGAGTAGTGGTGTGAGGTATTCCCGTCTATAATGTTACTATATGGAACTATACCAAGTTCACGGGTATCTGACCGGTATTCGTTTTAATCTTATAAAACACATTCTCTCATTTTAATGTCAATTTTAACCTACAGCAAAGTGCATCCCCAGCGAGAACAACGACGGTCGTGAATATCGCGGCAACCTTGATTACACGACTGAACTGATCACTTGTCAGAAATGGTCATCGCAGTGGCCGCATGAACATAACTACTTCTCCAACGACACCGTGAAAGACTCGAAGCGTGGTATAGGTGATCACAACTACTGCCGAAACCCTGTCGGTCGACGAGCGAAACCGTGGTGCTTCACCACCAGAAAGGATATCAAATGGCAATATTGTGACATAATTATTTGCTAATATTTATTTATAATAATTTGAAAATAGTGTGATTTTAAGGATATACACATTTAAAACCTTGTCAGTAATTCTGTATCCGTATCCTACCGCTATTGGATGGAACAGCAGTGTAACCTCGATTCATTTGGCAGAAAGAAGTACAAGCACAACAGATAAAAAGTAAAATTATGAATCATCTACAAATTTCGGGAGTTACCAATGATACATTCAGATGGGGCATCGCAAGCAATAAGATTTCGGGTAGTGAAATTATAGAAGACACATTTCGAAGTTGTTGTTTTTTTTATACCAAGATACATTTAATTTTATATTCATTTCATTATATATTTAACTATTAAAGTTCTTATTTTATAACACATTACCACAATAGCTTGACAATATATATTTTTCAGTCTGGACATCCAGGTTTTGTTTAAGATGATCTTGAACAAGCACTGAACAGCTCTATTATAACGCAGTAATTAATAATATATATATGTATTATACATTTGTCATCGTGACGACATAAGTTACAGCGTGCCGTAATTTTGCAGTATTGCACGGGGTATTTTTATCCTACCAAATTAGAAAACACGAATTCCAAATATGGAACGATTACTCGCGTAAACGTCATATAATAACAAAAAAACCATGGCTGCCCCAGAGTTTGACCGGAACCCACACATAGAATTTTGCTCAATCTGTTGTAAACGTTTTGGATTTCGGCATTTCCATGATGTATTCCTGGGAGGAAAAGATGCATAATAATAAAGTTATTACGAGGATACTGCAAAATATGTACTCAGACAGTACGCAGTCGCATCGACCTCCGCTGCGCGTCGGTTGATACTCTCGCTGTACTGTCGTCGTGCATACTTTGTATCCTCGTAATAACCTCATATTATAAAGAGTTCGTTGTACACTTATCCTACAAAAGTCATCTCTTTATTGGCATTCATCATTAAATTTGTATTCATCAATCACTGTAAGTATCACAAGGGCTTTGGATTTAGTACATTTCTTAAAAAATCTTATACACTATGATCAGTGCACTGATGGGTGTTCTACATAGAAGACAAAGTGGTAATGCAACTACCACCACAAATTGCCGGTTACTGTGTTAGTGTGTTAGTTCAGTAGAACACAGAAGAAGCATGTTTTGAAATGATATTATATTTCGGATTCAGCCAAGGTAGACCATTCATCCAATGCAGCCATTGCGCAATAATTAGTAAACCTTACAGATACCTCGCAGTCTGGTATTAATTTTATTTTATTAAAGCGTGGTAAGTTTGTTGAACTCAGTACTGCTGCCATTAATGGCTGCTTTAAATTACAGTTATGTAATGAATTATAACATACCGTTTTACTGGGAATGGTGTAATACTTG